CAGCTCTGCAGTCTCTGCTCAGCAGAGATGCTCCAGAGCCCTGAGCAGCTCGGTGGGCTCTGCTGGACCCTCTCCAGCAGAGTCTGCCCACAAAAGCCCACCCAGGGAACGAGCTGGAATTCAGGCAGGTGGCTCTGGGTGTCACACCTGACAATGCCCCAGTATCCAACACAACTGTGCTGCTGTCAAGGTGGCTCCTTGGACTGAGGAGCCCAGATCTGGACATGACACCCCAGCTGTGCCCCACAAGGACAGCCCGGCTGCAAAGGGGATTTCAGGAGAGCGGAAGAGCTTTTCCTCCATGAGCTGCACCCCCGAATTCCGTGACCACGGAGGAGCCTGGGCCCTGTGGCCGGAGGGGCAGCGCGTGCAGGGTGGGGAACGCGGGGTGGAGGGGATGTGAGGGACGGGGCCGGCGTACCGAGGGCGGCCTTGGCGGCGGCCGAGGCCACGCGCGGATCCACCACGGAGGCCAGGAAGGCCACGGTGCTCATGACGGGGTTGCCCGACTGGCTGAAGGGCACGGGCTGGTAGGCCAGGGGCCCCAGCGAGGCGTCCGAGTTCTCCAGGTAGGGATCCTCGATGGGCAGGCGCAGGAAGTGCAGGATGCACTCGTCCTGCGTGCGGCTGCCCACGTGCTCCGACACCTTGTTCCAGTCGTCCTTGTACATCTCCAGCGCCTGCAAAAAGGCAAAACCGGCGGCTACTCGGGGCAAGCGGCGCTGCTGTGGGCAGGGAGATCATCCAGACTGGTTACTGCGAGATGGAGCAGTGAATGGGGAGAGGGCAACTATTCAAAATGGGGTTTTTCTGCTATCAAAATTATCTGTGTAAGAAATGTCAGGATTTCCCTGGAGTGTCAGTGAGGTTGAAGCCACAGGGATCAGAAAGAATTGTCAGAAGACTTGGCATTTACTAATATTTGCACAGTAGGTGTTTCCCCATTCTGCTTGCACAGACAACTAAATCTGCCTTTCCTACCAAGTCTCACAATCCTTAATTCCCAGTACTCGCCCCCCAAGGAGTCCTGTTCCCTCTCTGAACACAGGAGCTCTTTGGGGCAGGAACAGGATTCATTTCTCTGTTTCTAAATGCAGACTGGCTGCGATGGTGAAATCCAGTCTTTAGGTCCAACAGATGCTATGGAAGTGGAAAACCATCAAACAAACAGACCAGGGGAAAAGGGAAATCTATCCCAGATCCTGAAGCCAGGAGAGATCAGCTCTGCAGGAGCTGTGCACAGTGTAATTTTGATTAACATTGAGGATAACAAGTCATTACTGGCTAGATAAGGAACCTGATAAAGTAAGAACTTGCAGATCATATCAAAGACATTAATTCTGAATTTACTTTTTAAACTTCCTCAAGAAATGTCTTAAAACAATTCAACAGCAAGGAGCTACTGAAGGCCCTGCACTAGCTCCTGAAAAACCAACACATTAATCCTGTAAAAGCCTCCAAGTCACAGCCTAATAAATTATTACTCCTTAACAAGCCATTTTTTCCCCTGAAAATTGTTTTAGTGCAGTATCTGGACAGCATAAAATAAATACTGACATACCCTGAACCATTAACTTTTACATTTCTGAGAGGACTCATGGTGCAGTCACCCAGAAAAGGCAAAAAACCATTTGAGTTTTTGACAAAAGATGCTCAGTGTGAAAATGAGTTTTTCCCAAGTAAATCCTCCTCACAAGGCTGAGAACTCCCAGAAATCTCAACCTTCCAGGCTGACTTCACTCTCGGAGCAGGGAGGGAGAACTCGGAGCTGGGCTGGATGTGCCAGAGGTCCTGTGGAGAACATGGCCAAGGTGGGAGAGCAGAGCACACAAGGTTCCTGTGCTGGGGCTTTCAGCACCTCCCAGGGACAAGTGGAAGATGCACACTGAGCCACCAGCCTGGTGCCCAGAATTCCTCCCTCTGGGAAGGGACAGGGTACGTACCAACTTCTGTGAACACCAAGACCAGGCTGGATGGGGCTTGGAGCTACTGGCAGAGGGGAAGGTGTCCCTGCCCGTGGCAGGGGTGGGATGAGCTCTAAGGTGCCTTCCAAACACACTGCTGTCCTCAGAGCAGCTCTGAAGCGTTTTAGTATTTGCTCAGTTAAAAGGCAAGCTCTGAGAATTCCTCAAGGACAAAACATGGATCTGCATGGGGCCCTCAGGCACATGGTGGCTGCAGAGGGTCAGCTGAGGTCATGAAAATGTTTGCAAAAAATGCTCCTGTTTGCAAAGCCGTGGCAGCAAACTGGCTACAAGGACAGATAATTCAATCCAAAAGCATCAGAGATCCAACAGGGATCAAACTGGAGAGACGTGCCCAAGCTGCCTCAGTGGGCAGCACTTCCCAGAGTGATTTAAGTTTAAACCTGGCTCAGGTGTCTCTCTCCCAGCTTAACTTGGGTGGGAGGGAGAACTCCCAGCGTGTCTCCAGAAAGCCTCTGGCTCCCTGCTCCTCCCCAGCTGGGTGGGGAGAACGCCCAGGAGCTGCTGAAGAGCCCGAGCAGCAGCACGAGGGGTTGGGAGAGCTCCATGGAGAGCCCTGGGCTGGGGAATGGCCTGGCACAGGCTGTGCCAGCCAGCCTGCTCCCCACCACGGGAATCCACAGCCCAAACCCTGCCCAGCCCTCCTCCTGCCCCCTTCCAAGGGTCTGACAGAGGACAGACTGCTCAGCCCAGCAGGCCACACTCGGGGAGGTATTCATTCTCTGCTCAGCCTTTATTTCCCTCTGCCTAACTTCAGGCTCTCAGTCCCTGTCTCCATTTTTAACCCCACTGGCACAGGAGAGCAGCTCTGCTTCTCAGCTCCCGAATTTCTGCTTTCTGCTCCTCCTCTTTCCCCGTCTGTTGTTTTCCTGCCAGACAAACCCTCGCTTGCAATAAATGTCCTTCCTAAAAATAGCTGAAAATGCATTTAACTCTGCCTGAGCCATGGAGACACGCACAGGGCCGTGCAGGGAGGGTGGTTTGGGGAGCAAAACTCTATTTCCTCCCCCAAATTATTCAGTCAACAGGCAGAAGGCCAGTAATTATATTTCAGATACGATTTATTATTTGGAACTTCGCTGCCTATTTGCCCAAAGCTGCCCTGAGGATTTAATTGGACTGAGCTGGCTTGTTACAGCTGAATTACTTATGCTTGAACTGATATACTCTTTACTGATTTATTCATAGAGCAAGTCCATGAAAAAGGAGGAACAAAAACATTATTAATTTAAACTCATTAAACAGAATTGCAATCTCAAGATTTAGGGGGGGCTTGGTTTGTTTTAAACACACAATATGTCATTAGATTATTTCATTGGGCTACAATGTGCAGTGTACGACCATAAGCTAAAAACATACAAACCAATGAATTTTAAATGCTAGTGCTATTAATATTAAATATTTAAATAATATATTTAAATAAATTTTAAAAAAATAAGTCAGTATATCACGGCATTAGCTTTGTTTCTCCTTACAAGAATGCCATGGAAAACAGCTCTTTACACCCTAGAAGTAAATTTTTTCCATGTGCCAATAGAAAAATATTGGCTAAACAGCAAATATCAACCTAAAATAAATAGGAAAAAAAGGGAGATTTTGGCTGTTTGATGACCACACTCCATATGTGTGAAGACTGAATCACAGCTGCTGATTTGGCACTGACACAGGTCCATCCTCTAGGCTTTTCCCCAGGAAATTAACTTTTCAATGGGTTTATTGACACATGGGAAGACAAAAAAGCTGAAACAATCAGGCAATTGCAGTTTGCTCTGAGCTCTGCAAATAAAACCCAGCAAAAACAGAGCCCTCACACTGGAATCCTCAGAACCCTGAATTTACTTTAAAAGAAAGAAATCAGCCATGTAGCCTCTACATCAGGAAAATGTTCTTGTGAGGAGAAGATCTTTTCTTTGCAGAAGTGGCAGCACTTGAAATGATTTCAGGCCACTGAGATTCTTCTGCTGAAGCAGAGAGGAACAATGCCCTGATGTGAGAGGCCAGAACCCTCTGCAGCTCCTCTGGAGGGCTCCATCCCCACTGAATTCCAGGGATCCAACCATCCCCATGTGCTCCAGAGCTTCACTTGAAGCCACCTGGGGACACCAGCCTGCATTATAAGGTACCTCAAGGAGTCATCTCAGGATTTTTTTTTTTGGTAGACTTCCAGAAAAAGCTCAAAGAACACCCCAAGTGCAGCTCCAGGGAAAAAAAGGAGGAGACAGATGGGATGAAGGAGCTACCAAAGAACTTCCTTCTCAGTGGCCTCAAGTGTTTCTCAACCAAAATGAGCTGTTTCCCTAACCTATGGCATGGGAAATCAAAATCTCCAAATATTTATCTGAGTGCCAGGTAAACCTTTACCTGAATTATTTACCACTATTTGAATTAGTGACATTATTTCACACTGTCAGTGAGTCCTGCTGAATGAGAATACCTCTCTGCACTGCAAAACCTGTTCCTGACTTACACAAAATTCTTAAATGCTTCATTTCTACCTCAGACCCAGGCAGCCCCTCTCTCACAGAGATGCTCCTGCCATCTCTTTTTGGTAGCAACACTCTTGTAGCCATGACTGCAGTTGTCATCTAACTCCAAAAAATGCACATGTGGATTTTTAAAGCCTGACCCACTCCTCCTGGCTTGGTTTCCTGCCCTTTGGGGCTTGGCCTCATGAACTCACCTCTAACAGCAGCAGTGTCTCCTGCTCTGTCCATTCTCTGCCAGCACTTGCACCTTTACTCTACAAAAGACAGGAGGGAAAAAAAAAGGTGAATCACAGCACTTCTTGCATAAAACCTTGGAGAAAACACTGAGGAGGGAAGGGGAAGGAGCTGTGATTTGATCCACTCCAACCTCCCCCTTCCAGCTGAGCAGCCCCTGGTCACCCCATGCAGGGGTCCATGAGATTTACCCCTCAGTGAAGGCAGAGCTGGGGGTTACACACCCCAAATTCCTGAGCTAAAGCAAAGGGATCTGCACCCTCCTCTCCCAGTGATCCGTGCCTGCACACACAGCAGACAGGGTTTTCCTGAACAATAAACCCCCTCTGAGTGCTGGAGGCAGAGTGGGCTGCTCCAAAATAAGTTAATTTATCTGCAAGTTCATCAGTAACTCAGTAGAGAACTAACAACTCTTTACAGGGGGATGAGCTGTGTGAGAAGGCAGGAGGATTCCAGCAGGATCATCTGCTCCAAGGGCTGCTGCTTCCAAATCTAGACCTCGTGGTGAACTGCTCAGATTGCACAAAAATTCCAAATTCATGGTAAAACTTCCCCTGACAGCTGGGGACCTGCTCCCAGGGAACATCAGCACCACTGGATGGCTCCGTGCTAGACTGAGAGGAAGAGGCTATTTAGGATAATAAATGTTATCTCCAGATGCATTTCAAACAGCTCATTAACCCCCACAGAACATTAATCAATGTGAGTCACCCAACTGCTGCTCTCCACACCCAAAAGCCCCAGCACACAGAAACCAAACAGGGCAATCTGCCAACAAACCTGCTCCAGTTCACAGCTCCTGTAAACAGAGCCAGAGCCCAGAACCAGCAACAGATTTATCCATTTGGAGAGTATTTATACCTTCCCTAATAAGTGAATAAGTCAATCCATGAAATGCGAGATGGAACCAACCTTATAAAAATACCTCTGGAACTGGTTTGGGTTTGTGAGGTTTTTAAAGGATGGTCTGAAGTGGCAAATAGTGTTTAAATAGTTATTTTTTAGGTTTAAACAATGACCTCTGAGGACAATGAACCAATGACATGGAATTAGCCTGATGCCACCCACGAGGGGCACTACCCAGTTCCCACTGGGGGCTGTGCTGAGGTACCATGGCATTCCCACAGCACCTCCAGGGACACATAGGGAGCAGGGAAAAGCAGGAGGCTGTGCAATCACCACAGCACTGCAATGGTGTCTCCATTCATTGCTCTGTAACACTCTGCAGTGACAGTGCCCAAAGGTGCCCTGCAGCTGCCCAGGGCACCCAAACCAGTGGGAATGGGGTCCCTGTTTGTCAGCCTGGAAAGCAGGAGAGGCAGAGATCCTGCTGGAAGCTCTCTGTGTCCTAAATCCTTGGATCATTTCCTGAAGCTGAACCATTCCAGCAGGACAAGCAGGAACAAAGTGAGTTTGGCATCTGAGGGCTGACAGTGTGGACTGCTCTGGGAAGCTGCCCATGTCTTTATTCCCATAAAATCAGAATTCCAGCACAACCTCCCACTGCAGTGTCCTGCACAGGGGTGGAAGACATCTAAACCAGGAGTGGAGGAGCAACACAAGTCACCTCAGTGCCACAAAGTGGGGGACACCTGAGGAATAACAAAGCTCACTGGGAGCTGGAGGGAGAATCCCTGGACACTTGCCTTGGCCAGAGTCTTTTTGGAGTAGATGTCTGTGCGAAGACCAAAGTTCTGCAGGTCAGTTGGCTTCTCCTTGTTCTTCTCAGGGAAGCTCAGCATTTGCTGGGCAGCTGGAATCTGGGAACAAACACAAACTGAAAGTTATTCAAGGTTTTCAGACCAACACTCAACAGAACGTGGACTGAACAGAGAAGCTGAACAAGCCCAAGACACTAAAACAAATGTGAGAGCAACGTGTGAGTGGTTCTGCACAGAACTGCTCCAGATGCTGGGCCCAGCTGCCCATCCATGGGGACATTTCCCCCCAGCTGCCCAGCCGGGGGGACACTTGCCCAGCCTGGGGGGACACTTGCCCAGCCAGGGGGGACACTTGCCCAGCCTGGGGGGACACTTGCCCAGCCTGGGGGGACATTTCTCCCCAGCTGCCCAGCCAGAGGGGACACTTGCCCAGCCTGGGGGGACACTTGCCCAGCCATGGGGACACTTGCCCAGCCAGGGGGGACACTTGCCCAGCCGGGGGGACATTTCTCCCCAGCTGCCCAGCCGGGGGGACACTTGCCCAGCCTGGGGGACATTCCTCCCCAGCTGCCCAGCCGGGGGGACATTTGCCTAGCCATGGGGACACTTGCCCAGCCATGGGGACACTTGCCCAGCTTGGGGGGACACTTGCCCAGCCTGGGGGGACACTTGCCCAGCCAGGGGAACACTTGCCCAGCCAGGGGGGACACTTGCCCAGCCTGGGGGGACACTTGCCCAGCCATGGGGACACTTGTCCAGCCTGGGGGACACTTGCCCAGCCAGGGGGACACTTGCCCAGCCAGGGGGGACACTTGCCCAGCCATGGGGACACTTGTCCAGCCTGGGGGACACTTGCCCAGCCATGGGGGACACTTGCCCAGCCAGGGGAACACTTGCCCAGCCAGGGGGGACACTTGCCCAGCCTGGGGGGACACTTGCCCAGCCTGGGGGACACTTGCCCAGCCTGGGGGACACTTGCCCAGCCAGGGGGGACACTTGCCCAGCCTGGGGGGACACTTGCCAGCTGGACACCAGGCCCAGGCCGGGCAGGGGCAGGCCCCTCCTGGCCCAGGGCTCACCTGGGGCGTGCGGATGTGCAGGGGCATCAGCCCCGAGGGGGTGTCGGCCAGCACGTTGAAGTGGGGGGTCGGGGGGGGCCCCATGGCCATGGGGCGGCTCTCGGGATCCACCTGGTAGTTGATGAGCCCCCACTGCTCCAGGAAGGCATGGACCCTGCAAGAAACAGCACAAATCCAGCCTTTGCCACCACAGCTTTGCTTGTGCTTCGTGTGGGAGGGCACAAACAGAGCTGGTGTTTCTGGATCAAATCCAGAGCCAGGAGCTCCTCTAGTCCTTCATTAATCCCAAACAGCAAAACAAATCCCAGAGCAGGAGCTGTGTGCACACCTGAGGGCATTGCAGTGTGATGGATTAACCAAAGCCTGACTTTGTCCAGTTCTGGGCCCCAAAGAAAGACCCTGAGGGGCTGGAGCATGTCCAGGGAAGGGAACAGAGCTGGGATGGGGCTGGAGAATTCCTGAGGGAGCTGGGAAGGGGCTCAGCAGGGAGAAAAGGGGGATCTGGGGGGACCTGGTGGCTCTGCACAGCTCCTGCCAGGAGGGGACAGCCGGGGGGGTCGGGCTCTGCTCCAGGGAACAGGGACAGGAGGAGAGGGAATGGCACCAGGCTGGGCCAGGGGAGGTCAGGGAGGACACCAGGAGGAATTTCTCCATGGAAAGGGTGGTTGGGCCTTGCCGAGGTTCCCAGGGAGGTGACCAAGGAAGGCCTGGATGTGGCACTCAGTGCTGTGCTGGGGATGAGACACGGGCTGGGCTCGATTTTTAGAGGGCTTTTCCACCATCAGCTAATTCCACCATGCTGCTGATGCCCGAAATGGCCAGGAGCTCCAGGCTGGCACCTCATGACGGCGCAGACGTCCCCGGTGAGGTTCCTCCTGCAGGCTGTGCTGGTCAGGTACTCCTGCGGGTTCAGCCGGTACGTGTCGATCATGAAGTTCCTGTAGGCCAGGTATCTGCAACACAACAGCCACCAGCTGAGTCCCTCAGCTCAAAGCATCATTTCAGCACCCAACCCCCAAACACCGACCAGGAAACACCCACAGATCTTTTATCGGTGCAATTCCAGAACCAGCACCAACACCTAGACGTAAGTTGTTGGAACTCAAAATGTCCCTCAGACATT